AATAATGCGTTAACAACTTAATTCGCTTGGCCATTGAGTGGGTACCCGAGTGGGTACCCTAGAGGATCTGTTCCTTTTTTGTTTAGTTGGACGATTAGCGCAGGGTCCTGAACTTGGCAGCCAACCAGCTGAGCCTGTGGACACACAGTTCCAATCTTCAGTCTGCTCTCTGCGCTATCCGCAGATTCTCTTCGCGTTTTATTTTTATCTCACTTCGATCGTTTTGTAGTTCGCCTGCGTCTGGGCAGCTACTGCGATTCTTTGCCTTTGTTTTCGGGTTGACAAAATTAATGAGCTGAGGCTGGGCCTCTCCGTGGAGAGCAGGGCGAAGGATCTGCTCGTTAAATTTAACAGCTCAGCGCTACGTTTTTCTCACCCGACTCAATGGCAAATTTATGCGTGAATTTGGCGGAGATCCATTAAGTGGATCCATAGATTAAGTCAACGTGTTGTCTTACCCGTTGTCGTTGTCGCCGTCGTCGTCGTCGCTGTTGCTGTTGCTGTTGTTGTTGTTGGCTTTTAAGTGGCACTGTGACTGCAACTGCCACTTCCACTGCGACTGCAACGGTAGCAATTTGAATTTTATGTTTCTCGCTGACAGCTTCTTTAAATGGCGCTTAACTTTTGTTTTGACATTTTCACCCGTTTGACATTTTGCGGAATGGGATTTTTTTGGTACTCTTATTCGATGTAGTTCTTGCTGTTGCTGTTGCTGTTATCGTTCTTGTGCATGCAAATTCAATTAATTGTGACATTCATTGAAATACCAAACAAACTACATTCAGAGCAGACTGAAAAGAATCGCGTATCTGCTTCACACAAAGTATGCCGAAAACGTTGAGTCAGAAGATGTAAATATTACTCATCTTTCCAGTTGGTTTAACAATTTGTTGCATGAATTGTATTAGCTGCATGAAAAGAAAGTAGAGTTATTTGATTTGGCAAAGTCTTAATGCCCATGCAGAGGTTTGGCAAATGTGGAATATATAACCCAAATACGAGGCTGTGTCAAGTCTTACTTTATTTTTCCAAGTCAAGGTTGTATTGAACATAAATGGCTATGTTGAGTTCGCTGTTGAATCTGATCCAAAATCTAAATATAAATTAATATAAAATAAGGCATAATATGAAAGCAACTTACAGCCAAAACAGCCACGATTGGCTTTCAACGTGTTGCACAGTTGCAAATGCCTCTTGCTAGTTTTTAATGAGCAACATGCACTTGAAAAACATAAGGAACAACAACATGCAAAATTAAATTAGTTTGCAAAAATTGTGCCATGCAGTAAAAGTGGCCGCTTTGTTGTTGTTTCTGTTGTTCTGTTGTTGTTGTGCTGTTGTAGTAGTATCAGTTGTTGTTGTTGTTCTTGTTGTTGTTGTAATTGTTGCGTCGACGCCTACGCGACTCGAGTTAATTTTTTTTTTTCGGACATGAGACACGCTACTTTGCGTTTTTAGCTGCCAGACGGTGGCGGCAGAAGCGACAACAACCGCTGCCGTCGCCGCTGCTGCAGTTTTGCGGCACGCAGCACAATGGGGCACACGCATAGAGACGGCTAGCTGAGTAAAAAAGAGAGCGCACTATATCATGTATGAATGAATTAGCAGGTTGCGTGTGTGTGTGTGTGTGTGTATGTGTGTGGGCTGTAAGCCGAGATTTTTGGCGCCAAATTGAGCATGCAAAAAAGATCAACGCTGCGTATGCGTAATGCTTGGCGCATGCAAAATAACTGAAACGAGTTGAGCTCACGTGCCGGCACACACACACGTCGCACACACACATTGCCACGCCCACACCCCAAAGGATTGCGTGTCATTTGTTTATAAACACATCAGCTGAAACAAAATCAACAATTGGCTGACGCTTGACGCCGGCTAACCCAAAGCCCCAGTGCTGTCGACCCTTGACACCCATGTAACAGCAACAAGAGCAACAACTGCAACATCGACATCTGCTGCAGTTGCATTCAGCAGCGCCCAATTTGAGGTTCGTTTTTACAGCCTGGATAGAAACTGCAGCAGCTAAAGGACACTGTGTCCTTCTTCGTTTTGGGGGCGTCGCAATTTTTTCGAAATCGAAATCCAAATGGCAGCCCTTGGGGCAATTTCTGGTTGCTGCCGCATTGTAATTTCTTTAAAAGCAATTCATTTCATAATGGGGAAAAAAAGGAGAAAAAAGAAAAGCGAAAAATACATGAGGGAAAATGCGAGCTCTGACAGAAAGAAAAGCAGCCAAACGAAAATGGCAAAAATAATGCAGGAAAATGGAATGAGCCAAGCTAAATGAAAATGGGCTGCAGGAGGTAGGGTGGGGTCGGGCAAGGGTTGGGTTGTGTGGTTAAAACTTTTGCAAGAAATGTAGCCAGCACACACACACACACACACACACACACAGACTAACACACACATACTCTGGCTATGCAGTTATCCTTTGTTCGCTAGGATTCTACGCCATTTTCAGCAGCGACGTTTTATGGTCTACCCCCAAAAACTTCCAACACACCTCGCCCTGCCCCAGCCAGAAAACAGAGCAGACAAAAGCTCTTTTTTCTTGTTCGTTTTCCTTTTCTTTTATTATTATTATTTTCTTTTTTTTTTGTTTGGGAAAGTTGTTTATGGAATTCATTTTATTACAAGCCTTCCACGTTTCTCTGCAGCTCTTCTTGCGGTTTCTTCTGCTGCCGCTTAGTTTTGGAGTCCCGTTGCCTTCTTATAGATAATAAGAAAATTATACATTTTATTCAACGGCCGCGTTGCAGGCGAATGCCGCAATGCCCCCAATTTGGAGTGGTCCTTAATTTGCTGTTAAGCTATTTAGTATTATATCCTTTGATTCGCTCTCATAATTTGCAGCCTTGACTTGAAACTGTCTTGAATTCAAATTGCATTCCAATGCGTCTAACGGTTTTATCATCATCTGTGATCATACTTATGCTATGGAGGCATCTATATAATCACCCACTCCTTCAGCGATTTGTCGTTTATCCGCAGTTTCGTCTGCTTCGTATTCGTACCTTCCTGCCAGACACTAATAATTTTCTAAATTCAGCGTTTTTTGTTGGCCTTTTACGTTCTGCCTACTTCGTAATTGGCTCAAAACTTTGAGGCTCACATTTAATTAAATAAATTAACGTTTATTTGGCATTTGCGGTGCTTTATGGATTTGTATTTTCGAATTTGGCATTCCAATGCCCAACGAATAAATCATTTTTATCAACATTAGTTTGTATGGATGCATAAATATATATGTATATATTTGACAGTTTAGCATTGAAGGCGCCCTAGCAGCAATTTGGCTGCATGTGCAATTTGGCTGAATGCCAGACCAGCGAATAACAATTTGCAGTTGGCTAAACATGTTCTAGGACTGAAATTCTATTTACTATGATTTTATTTGATTTTATTATCATTGGGCCCGAGCAGGGTTTGCCATTCCAAAAGGTGCCCGAGTGGGTGGGCACCTGGAACAGATTAAAAGATTTCTTTTATACTGCATAATTGACTTGACTGGAAATCTAACTTGGCATTTGGATTATTTCAAGTATTCAGTCCAGACCCCACACCTCAGGATTGCCTAGCTTCCATATGAATGAATGAATCATCATCATTATCTTTGGCGACAGTATTGCATTCCCAAGCACTTGGGGCACACACCTCAGCGGCGACTGTCAAAGCTGGTGTCCGAGCGGTGTCCTGCACCAGCTGCAGCTGGGGATTAGAGCGGTCCGCTAACAATTTGAGGAACATGTCGTCCTGGCGCTGACATCGAACGGACATGCCACTGACAATTACGTGGAAAAGCAGCTCAAAAAAAGTGCCAAACTGAAGCAGAGGCAAAAAAATGTCAGGCAATTAACTTAAATACGTTTCAACTTTTTACGTGCAAACGCGACAATGTCCTGTGCTAGTCCTGTGCCACTTGCCCGAGTGCTCAGTTTAAGTGAGTGTGTGCACTCAATTTTTGAGTGTGTATGTGTGTGCTTATGTGTGTGCAGCGAAGCAAAAAGTTTTGAAAAACTAAAACATCAGCGCAAAACAATGAAAATATTCAATGTACTTACGATATACAGAAAAAACGACAAATTTTTAAAGAGCAAACAGAGAGGAGGTAGGGTAGACGGGCCAGCGGGCCATGTGGGTTGGCGTTGGCCCTGAAAGGGGTCGCTCGTAAATTACAACAGTAATTATATTTAATAACCGCAATTAACTTTGTAATAATGTCAATGAAAATGATGAGACAAAATATGATTAAAAACAAAACACAAAAAACGCGCTTAAAACACACAAAAGAAAAGCAATAAGAGAATAAACCAGGGACAAAGGCAAAAATGTACAGAATGGTTTCAAGCTATGTAAATCCTCACCCAAATGGCAAATCGCTCGACTTTAGACGCTTATGGCTAAGATAATGCGGATTTAAGTGAGCTGGATGGTCAAGGAGCGCAGTCGAGCAGACAGCTATCATAAAAGACTCGAGCGCTTTTTGCATTTATGAGCTTTATTGGCGAACCGCAACAGCTGCGTCTTGGCCCCTGCTCGGGCGCCAGCTTGATATCATATCACATACAGCATTTAGATTTACAATGGCTTTGGCTGGGAATCTCGACCGCGTTTTTTATGACATTTAATTGGACATACAGATTGTTGTGTTCTAATTTGTGGCGGACTTTATGATTTGATTCGCGGAAACAGAAAAACAATTATAATCCAGATCCATTTTCGGGGCTGCTGTTGTAATTAACAGATCAAGTGGTCATGGCTAATCGAGTAGCCACAAAGAGGTGCTACCCCGAACTCTACTCTGTTGCTGTTGAGGGTGGTTTAGCTGGCTTAACCGACCCTATTATCCAGGGGTAACTGATAACTGCAATTAATAATTTTGACCTTTTCTGTTGTTGCTTTGTTTTCCTAGTTCACGCCGTCAGCTGCGTTTTGAAGCTTGACTCGACGTTTAAATGCATGAAATTTATTTTCGTTTTCACTCTCATCTATTTTTGCAGCCTGAAGCCGCCGCCCAAGGATGGCGTCACTAAGAGCAATCCATCAAAGCGGCATCGGGAGCGCCTCAATGCCGAACTGGATCTGCTTGCCTCGCTGCTGCCCTTCGAGCAGAACATACTTAGCAAACTGGATCGACTGAGCATACTAAGGCTGTCCGTTAGTTATTTAAGAACCAAAAGTTATTTTCAAGGTGAGTACGGGGAATATTTGTAATGGGTATTATGAGCGCCCCGCCCCTTACCAGAAGGCGGGTGGTTGGTAAACTCGAAAAAACTTAAAACGCACCCGCACGGACTTGGGCAAAGGTGAAAGCTGAACCCCATCTCCAGACTCAAACTTCTATATCGGACCCATCCCATATGGCTGGCCTCTCAGGAGCGTTTGGGCAATGGCTTTCGCCTTCGCCTTTTTGCCATACGGCGCGTTACATTCCGGCCTATTAAATCGATTATGCTGCCATTGCCAGAGAGTTGCTGCCACATTGTAACTGCCACTGAATGGTGGCAGACCCTAAACATGACTCATAAATGATTCAAAACTAATTTCAACGCCGCTACGGGGCGTCCTGCTCCTCTCTGTCTGTGCTCTAGTCCTGGTCCCAGCTGACGGATACGCACACACACCCGCACACTGTCGGGAATAACACACGCACGTGGCGAAATTAGTCCTGTTGACGGATTAAAGCCGTACTAGGAAAACAAAAGAGCCAGAAGAAACTTACAATTTAGTTTGTCTTCTTTTCGTTTGATACTCTTAGCTCTTTGTTTTCCTAGTAGTATATATATATATATATATATATTTACCCTATAAATCTATTACTTTTATAGCTGCTTAGGATACTTGGTCTAGATGAGTTTTACTAATTTTTGCGTTGTATATATTTTGTTTGTTTTATATAATGTAAATAGTATTGAGTTAAGTGACCACAATAGAACAGTATGAAAGTATCTTAACTTTTAAGATTATTTATATCTTTGGGTTTAAGCTATCAGCCTATCCTCGATTGGGACACCACAATATCAAGGCTTGAGCCCGCATTCCCGCTCTTTAATTATCTCAGCTAGTCGTTCGCTAGGAAAAAACATTTTCTTAGGGAGTAATATTCCATCTTATAGGCATAGTTTGGTTTCAAGTGTATGAAAACTTCGTATAGTTGAATGGTCAGTTGCTGCTTATCTTGTGCTTCTTGTTTTTAGTTTTGTTAGTTTTTTGCTTTTCTGGTCCGCCTGGCAAATGAATAAAAGGTGGGCCCCAAGCGAATAGGAAATGGGAAAATGGTAACATTTTTTGGGCCAGGTAAATCGAAGCAGACGAATGAGGAAACATATGTACACAAATGCGAACACACATATGTACAAACACACATATTCCTCTTAGTGTAGGGGTTGGTTTTGTTGTTATTTTTCCTTTCTCTTCGCTTTTTGGCATAAATATTTCGATGTTTTTTGCGTCTAATTTAAATTAATTAAAACAATGCAATAAAAGGAGAACGAACTTGCCCGCTTTGATGGCTTTATTATCGACTTGGTTCATTGGCATTTCGCTTTGTTTAACGACATAAATTTAATTGCCTCGGTTCAGAGGGAGGCGCAGAGGTAGGGGGTTGTTTATTTGTATATAAGGAAGATGAAGTGCCCGCACACAACGTTAATTAAGTTTAAGTGCAAAAATTGTAGCGAAAATTGAAAGAAAAGCGGAGGGACACCAACCAAAGGACTATTAGAGGACTCTTTGTGCGGTATTTGTGACTCACGTGTCTCCAGCTTTTGGGCTGGGCTCTTCATGTGCCAGGACACAAACAAACTGCGGCAAATACTCGAGTAAATATTTTGACAATTAGCGGTCAAAACGCAGTTGGGCGTTAATTGCAATCGCAAACAGTTGCTGGCCAGTTCAAGTCTTCGGCGACACGTGCCCGTTGCATTGTGCTAAGTCAATATACGATCCTAAGTTTCCTTTGATTAGAGACCAACAACCACTCGCCTTAAAAACAGGCACGCGCTGCGTTTCCTTTGCGCATTCTGCCCGAGCCAAAAAGGACGACGACGGGTTAATGGACCAGAACCGTTGCGCCGTGTGCCCCCGTGAGTGCCCAGTGTCCTGTCAGCTATATACATGTCTCTGTCCATCTAATGTTTTCCCTGAGAGTGGAGGGCGAGGGCGAGTTTGACAAAACGTCGCGGCACAGGTCAAAGTTTGTTTACGTTTTGGCTTTATTTGTTTGTCTAGATGTTTTTCGGATATTATCAGGATCATTTAATTTACAATTAGTGGGTGTACAAGGGAAGACTGCAGCAGCGGGTACGTGTGTGTGCGTGTGTGTGTGACTGTGTGGGAGTTAGCGTTAGTGTGTGTGCTACGGCTTGTGGGATTTCCAAAACTTAAGCACTCAATGCAATTAATTTAAGCAGCCAATAGGTTTAGATATCCAATATATATATTTATATTGAGAGCTCTATATAAAGCTCTGTTCTATGCTTATGTGCCACTATTTACGTATGTATATACACATTAAATGGCCCACTAGGGGGTTGCTCGGCAGACACTTACAACAACAGCAACAACATCAGCGTCCTGCATCTATATAGGGGCAGTTGTTGACCCTGACTTGCGCAAAAGCGAAACGGCGAACAAATTTTCTCTATACCAGGAAAAAAAAACATACAGGCGGGCAAAAAAAAAAAACAGCAATGGATGAAAAGCAAAGTTCGTTTTCATTTTCGCCAGGCTTTCAAAGCTGCTTTTCTATATACATAGACACTCGACTAGAACAAAAAGAAAAACAACAACTAAATAATTAAAGCGCGCTGCTAATGGCCCATTGTCTTGGCCTGGCCCCAACCCCCTGACCCGTACCACCCACGCTATAATTGCAGGCCAAGCATTGGCGCCTTATGGCTAGGAATAATTGTTAAGACGCGTAATTCGTACATTTTTAATGCACTCGTTACGACTCTTTGGTCCTGGCAAAGGGCTGGGTCTCCTGCCCCAGCCAGCCTAATTGATGACTTGCGTAATTAACTGCAAAATGAACTGAAATGCTCTCATTGATAGTTTTGTTTAATCACTCCAAATGGCGATTGCACGCAATCGAGCAAAACCTCTAAATAAACTCCAATCCCAACCTAAACCCGTTCCCAAAGTAAGCAATTAAATTGCCCAATAAGCAAATTGACCGCCATCTCAGACTCCAATCAGAATGTGGCATGGCGCGGTGTGTTGCAAATTTCATAAGCTAGTGTTAATTAATTGCAAAGAAAGTGAGTTGTGAAACTATCTTAAGAACAATACATTCATGTAGAACATTGTATATAGCATATAAATAGAAATGGATCATTTAGAGATTTCGTTATTTGAATGTTGCGGTAATGAAACAAACGGATATGTTCCAGATCTCCTAAGCATCACTAATAATTTTAATCCACCTTCCCAAGATACTTAATAGTCTACTCAAGAGCTGAATTCAGCTGAGACCGAGGTATTTGTTCCATTTATTAGGCAATCGGGTGCTTATGTACAAACAGACTTAAATGGAACATTTTAATGCACTTCAGTTGTAAGACAACTCTTTTCCAAATACGAGTCCTCTCGCAAAACGCAAAACGATTATCTGTTGGCGGTCGCCTACACGTATATCAATTTCATAATTTATTGATTAATTCCAGTAAATTAACCAAATGCATATAGATCAGAATATATACAAACAATGGAGCCGGTTGCGAATGACTCGCAGTTGACTTTTGCCGCTTTTGGTAATTGGAGCTTGGTAGTGGGAACGCGTCGGTTGCCAACCAGAGTTCCCACACACGATTAAAATATGAAAGATATTTTTATTCAGACTGCGAGGCAGCAAATCATGTTGGTACTACGACTGGTTATTGAGATCTAGTTCTCTTTGGGATCTGGCCTCGTGGGAAGCGAGCTGCAATTGCCGCCGTGTGGCAACTCTGAGCATATTTCAAGTTGTTGCAAATGCGACACATGAGCTTGGGATCAGTTTGCGTGGACACCCCCTACTCCCACCATCCAGCTTATTTTAACAAGGTCACTTGGCCCAGCTTATATATGTTTTGGAAGTGGGTTCTTGGGGATTGGGCCAGGCAGTTATGCTATTATCAAAATTGCCGCTAAGCGTTTGTTAATGGAGCCCATGGCCATGTGCTATGCGAATCGCACGGCCCAAGGGGCCAAGGCTCAGCTCTTAACCTATAAACATACTGAGCTCCGAGACTCGCCAATTTTTCGTGCATATACATGACTTTCGTGCGTTGCTCCAGTTTAGGCCCATTAGTAGTAGTGGGCTGGGGACAGGGGCATGGGGGCAGTGGCGTAGTGGTATAGTGGGCAAGGGGGGCTGGTCTCCGGGCTTGTGGAATCTATACCCAGACAATGGCTCGAAAACGCCGAGTCGCAGGCGGACATGCAATCAGTCAGGCGATGCACTTTAACTACAACTGTCCTACCTCGTGCAAGGTAGTGCCTATTGTTGTTGTCAGCTGTTGTTGCTGTTGTTGTTGTTGTTGTTGTTGCCAGACGCCTCGTATTGTCACGCCGCTCAGCCGTGTTGGGTTTTGGTAAAGAGTTGTGCCCAGCGCGAGAATGTGGCAGACAACATTGCGTGACTTACGTAGGTCGAATGGAACCCTCTCTACCCCCACTCAACTTAGCCCTTCCGCATCTAACAACAACAGGTACATTATCTAAAGGCCTAGTTCAATTTAAAGCGGGCCAAAAAGCGTTTAAAGAACTGAAAGAAGCAAGTTCTAATTTTCATGTAACTAAATCAATAAGGGGAAATGTCGCAAATGCCTAACACAAATTTAGGCTAATCATTTCCATGGCACAGTTCTTAAGTTTTTCCCTGATGTTGTTAACATATTTGTGATTTTATATTGTTTATTCCATTATAATTTGGAATGCCAATATATACATGTAAAAGTAATGTACAAGTGTAAGAATATCTATTGAAAAATATCTGTAAATAGGGAAAATGTGATCTACATAAATTTTCCTACCTCCATATTAATTATTTATTTATTATATTGTCAAGTGTCTGAGATCAGGATACAATAGATGATGATCAATAGATGTTCAAGCGAAATTTTGTTATATTATCTGCCTTTTACAAACTTTTTGTAACCAAACCTCAATATTTTATATGTTCTGAGTTCAAGAAAAGAAAACTTCTTTACATTTTTACGAGTCTAATCTCGCTATTTAGAAAGAATGTTAGGTACATAAAAACTTTGCAGAGTTTTAATATTTATGACTATTTATACTTAAAATGGGTGTGTAGCTAGCCTTTGGGAGATGTATGCTCCCAGTTGTTTTTATATTATAGGGAGCTGCGTTTAACCTAGACTCACTAATTTATTAGAATCAAATACATGTTCGGAAGACCTTTGTCTAGTTATTAAAGCAGGTTCTATTCATAATTGCCATATACCTTCAGCATTTCTTTATCCTTATCCTTTATAAACTCTCTTCCCCGCCGCCCACCTAACCAGCTGAAGCGCGCCTCTCGTCACCCCTGACAATGGCTAGCATTTTAGTGCTGTCAGTATTTCAATCAATTGGGCTGATGAGTTTGACATTTCCATGACATATTTGTTTATGAGCACGAAAAATATTTGCCAAAATGTCAGAATTTAAACTTTATTCATTGTTTGCGCCATGCCGTGCCAAGGGACACGCCCCAATCGTGGCCCCAACCACCGAACGCCCAGCGCATAATTGACGCCATTTTCCAGCAGGCGTCGCAGCTGGCATCGCAGTCGGCGTCGCTGCTCTGTATCTTGCAGCCCGTCTGCGCGCACGCTTTTCCGACGTTGGTTTTCCGACCTTCTTCTGCTTGCTGCTTCACAGTATGTTGGGTGGGGTTTTCGGGTTAGTCGACGCCATTTTTATGTGTGTACCCCGAGATCCCGCCCCTGCGCCCGCATGCAACAAGCAGAGATTTTGCGCTTTTCCGCCTTTACAAGATTTACGTTCATCCACCAAAGCGACGGCGAGGGGGTAATGCGAACTGGCCGCATCGTGGTCGCTGGTGGTGGATTTTGGTTTATGTTGCACGTGAAATGGCGCATTTTCTAAGCTCTAACGCGAGGGCCGCTCAAACAGTTTGCATTTGGCATGAACGCGCTTTAAGCCATATCGTAAATTTGGTTTATGCTAAACAGCTTGCAATAAAGTAAACCCAAGCACGCCCAGAAATTGCGGCAGACTTGTTACCAACACCCCAACCACCAACCACCAGCCCCTACCCTAGGCCCTTAACCCAGACCACTGCCTCCAGCTAAAGTTGAGCCTAATTAAATGTGTTTATGCACGTGAATAATTTTACCGCAACAATAAAAAAGCCAAGAAAATAAAATAAAAAATGTATGTAACTGTTATAATAAGAAGTACAAGTCGCAATGTAAACTGAGCCTAATTAAATTATGAATAATTACCACAAAATGTTGCTCTAAAAGCCATTTCGGGCATCGCACGCACATGATGCAATTTGTTTTGGCCACATTACGTGGCTGGCCAGCCTGGAGGTTCAACTATTTGTTTTATCGCACTTTTGCTAAAATGAACACTATAACACTCCAGCACACACACACACTTACACTCAGGCACTTTTGTTAATTTGATAAAAAGCTAAGCCAGCGCACAGATTAGCTAGAAAAGAGCCCAGGCAAGCCAAGTCAGGGATAGGCCAAGCCACAGTACACTGAGAAAAACTAGCTAGGATTCCCTTTAAAATAATATAAAATATATATACCACATATACTTATCACATACAATAAGCCTTTTTATGAACTATAGCAAACTGATTTTAGGTTGAATGTGTACTAGAGGCGAGGGATGCTAAATTCATCTTAAATTCTCCATTGCCAAGTCTTAACTCCAGCAACGCAAATAGAATATAAAGGCTCCGTCCCTTAGAGTTCTTAGTAAAAGAGATACAAATAGCATAGATTTTTATTTTCTTTAGGTAAAAAAATAGAGAACCCAAAAAGGGAACAAGCTTCACAAGAGATTTTATTTGTTTGTAAAATAATAATAGAGGAACAAAAAAGTTTAGTGTGGAAATCTAAACCATTTCGCTCAGTGTAGCTATAGCTCTAGCTAGGGGTAGACCAGAGTTTTGGAGCTGCTAATTGAAATGAGAGACCCTGTGACTGGGCTGTGGTTGCTGTAGTCCTTGTTGTAGTCCCTGTTGTTCTTGTGGTTGTTGCCCAAGGGTTGCTGGGCCTTTGGACTTGCAGTTAGTTGTGGGCTTTGCCATGCGTAAATTAGGTTTTAGTTTTTATTCATTTCTTCATAAATTTGGCTGGTTTTTTGGTTTTTTGTTTTTTATTTTCATTTCACTCTCATTTTTATTATTTCCATTTGCGCTGATAAAAATCATAATTTATGACATCAGCTGCCGTGGCATATTTTATTTCAAGTCGCATATAAATTTGCTTATAAAATTTGTCCCAAAACCAGACAAAACTCAGCCCTAGAGCTGTGGAAATATATTAGCTCTAGTTTTGTTTGTTCTCTTTCTTTTTTTTTATCGTTTGTCGCGCATAAATCAATTTTTGTGACAAATTTATTATAAAACTTGAGGCGCAGAAGAAAATATGTGGAAGGAAACCCCCATCGCCCAGGAGGAAAACCCAAAAATATTGCTTCAAAAATGGCGGCGTCCTGGATCAAGGGTGTTTGTGTGGTGTGCTTGTGTGTGTGTGTCTATGTGTATGTGGAGGGGTGTAATATAGTATGGGAATGAAAGCTGGTGCCAGGCTCTAGCTAGGGCTTTTGGGGGAGGAGTGGGGCGGGACTCATAAAATATTACAATGACACCATAAACAATTTTTAGTACTTTTCCATGCCAGCTGTAAATATTTATTGTATATTATGGTCTACTATATAGTATATATACATAGCTATATTGGATTTTTATGAAGTAACTATGGTTTCAAAATGGTGGGGTTTATAGATGGTAGCAAGGGGAGAGGAGGGGCGTGCTGTAAAACGTTTTCGAGCGAGTTTATTTATGGTGCAGCAATACGTCTAAAATATAAATGGCTAATAAAATATAAAAATTTCGAGCTCATAAATATTTAAGCTGTATAACTAACTCGCTCTAACTCTGTCTCTTTGTCTCACTAACTCCCTTTCTGTTTTTCTCTTTGCAGTTGTTATGCATAAGGATAAGGAGGAGAACGGTGTCCTGCCGCACATACACGCACATGATGGCTACAGGACGCGCGAGTTGGGCGCCTTCGAACATGGCCTGCTGGATGGTGATATGTTCCTGCAGGTGAGTCGCAACTGTAACCCCCAGCCCCACCAACTTACCTTAGCTGCAACGTCCCTCCCTTGGCCTATCGTTGATTAGCTTAATTTGTCTTCATCAATTTGTTTGGCCATTTGATGGCTTCATCGCCAGGATATGCCGCGCCAGTCAGGCGCATAATCAATCAGCGCTCGTTGAGAGAGATGGCAGGGGCAGGGTTCCATAGTATTAATATCTCCACATAACCGTATACATATTGATAAATGTTTTTAGAAGACACGCAAAGTTCACAGCGCTTCGATTTGTGAACGAAGAGTAAAATTGTTAAACAATTGATGTAATTAGTATAGATCTCGTTGTTGCTGTTGCTGCCGTTGGCCGTGTGCAGTTGATCAATGTGTAATTGGCGCTTGGACATGTGTTACCATAATATTTATAATTAATTTTGGCCAGTTGAGCAAACTCCAACCCAAGCCGCAGCCAACTCAAATTATGCATTTCAAGTTTATGTGCCACGCGCTGAGTTGGTCAAACTTCAATTAAATTGTCTCACAGACACACACACACACACATACATAGTCGCACTCACAAGTTGCAAGTTGCATGTTTTTGCTGAATTAAAGCACTTTTGTGGGCCGCAGTTGGTGCATGTGGCCAGGCGCGAACATATGCACTTGTCACACTCATGACAGTTTAATTTAATGCACACATAGCTCACCCAGCCAAACCTAGACCAGGGGGCAGACAGTACCCCAACTGAGGGTTTATATAGAAGGGGGCTAACAAAGAGTCGGAGGCACGCAATTGTGCAACATGCGCTTTATGCAAGTTTTATGTTTTCAGCTGATTTTTTTTTTTTTTGTTTTCGGTTGCACTACACAATTCAATGTCAAAGTCTAAAACTGGTAGCCGTAACCAGCCCCACCCCCAAAATGGCATAGCTACACACTCATAAAGTGTGTTTCATAGTAAAAAGGAGCACAGTCGAATGCATCGTTGAAATACATTTTAAGAATTGTCGCTTTTCTGTTGGTATCGCACAGGTATTTGTAGATGTTAACAGCTTCTTATTCCATACAATATCAATATTGGATTATGAAACTACATACTACATACCATTAATACGTTTACGTTACGTTAGCTGGAAAAGATCTCTTTGAATCTATCATTCGGAAGATATCGAAGCTTGCAAATACCTTGCGGACAGTTCGATTCATAAACTCGCCTTACAGTTGTAAGACGTCGGGCTTCGTAAAACAGCAGAGCAAGAATAATCCAAATTGTGACATATGATTAAAAACATCACTTATCATGATTTTGTGCTAGGTATTGCGACATAAATAAGATCTAGTATGTCTTAGAAGTCGCTATGAAGCCAAAAAAATCATTAAGGCTGCTAACTCGACACGTATTTAAAAAGTTCGTGGACTCTCAAGTATGTTATAGCTAAGCATTGTGGATTGATTTTGCAGGACAATAATTTATTCAGTTCTGCTATCTTATATCCTTTATTTAAACACAATCTAGTTGATTTCACTATATTAACTATCACTGCCGCTGAACAACAGATGGCGCCACTGTCTAGTTCCTCCTCTCAAATACTTACGCAAACTCTGAAACACACCTAAATCATATGCAAAATACTGCACATTGCATTTGCCACATAGTCAGGCCGCACTGCACATGGCACAATGCAGGTGCAATACGTATACGCAGGGCGTACGGCAGGACCCACAGCAAGGACTCAGACGAGTCGTGTGTCTCCGTGCAATTTGAATGCAAGCCAAAAACTTGTTTTGTTTTTATGTTCGTTTTTTTTTTTTGTCTTCCGGTGAATGGGCGAAGTGCAGCTAATTGCCGAGCTGCACAATTGTGCATTTCCGTGCATATTTTTGAGCCACTGCTGGACGGGGAGGGAGCGACAACTATGTGAAGGGAGGTTCCCTTTTGGGGGGGTGCTGCATATTTAGTTTTAATAGCTCAGGTATTTGTTACCTGTTGCCCGTTTCAATTGCTCATGAAGTTTTACTTTTTTGTTGTTGTTGTTGTTGTTTATTATGGGTCACATATTATCATTAGAAAATGGCGTTTTGTCACGCAGCGCAGCTCATGCATATGCCGCCATCTCGCTCGCACGCACACACAGCTGTTGCTGCTGCTGCTGTTCCACATTTGCAACAGTTTAACAGCAACTGTTGACACACATTTGCAGGCGGCTTAAAAGTGGTTTAATTAACTAAAACTTTGTTAATTAAAGACATTGATTTAAAAGCAACAAAAGCAACAGGCAGCTAGCGAAATAGAGAAAACGGGAGAGAGCGAAAGAGAGAGCGAGAGGGACAGAGAGCTTGCCAATGCGCCCATCTGGCGTATGCGCAATAAAATTGTTGCTAGCAAAAGCTAGTTATAATTTGAGCAGCATCCTCCGGCTTTATTAAGCAATTATCTGCCAGGGGTCCACAGCAAATTGGCCAAAACTCAACTAGCCAAGAGCCAAGCTGGGGTCAGCTGCTGTCTGGCCAGGTCTTGGCCAAGGAAATGGTAAAATAATCGCTGCCAACTTATCAAAACACAAAACTGTAATGCAGCCCGACAATCAAATGAATGGCTAGATACAAAATGTATGTATATTATGTATGAGATATACATACCCACACATACGCATATAAATATGTACATACATGTGTCTTCCAGGCTGTAGCGGTGGCTGTGGCTGTGGATGTGGCTGTGCCGCACAAGACGGGCGTGTATTATTAAAAACGCATTAGAAGACGCCGCTGCCTCAAAGCACATCAACTGTTACGGACAGCTCGGACAGTTACCTCGTATAAACTGATGCACAGACGGACACAGATTTCAGGGGAAGGCAGCAGCACAAAAAGCTAGAGAGAGACAAAAGGCAAGAGAAAAAGAGAGAGAGAGATAATGAAAGAAAGAAAGAGAGAAACAATTAAGCTGCAAAAAGAAATCTGGCTGTTTGGTCTTTAGGCGGAAGAAGAAAGAACTGCTAATTCCCTGCTGCCGAATATTAAATACTCTTGCTTAAGTACTGCAGATTTTTAATAAATTCCAATATTGGGCGGTTTGCTTCTATGGGGACTATATGATATAGCAGTCCGACATTGGAGATATTTTTTGGATATTGAGAGCACTTGTTTAATATCATTATTGATGAGTCGGCATAAGAAATAATTAACGACTGAAAGTTTCTTATACTAAAATTAAATATGTGATCGACAATGAAAGCCGTGTGAAATCGTAATCTGAGCCGAGCCCCTTTGAAATTTATACATATTCACTGCGACTCGTGGGTCGGTTGGGCGGGTGATGGTAGGCAACACGATGCATCGGGATTCGCGAGAAATGAAAAAAAATGCAGCTTATCTATCCAATTAATATTTATTAACAACCCCATTTGGCTACAGGGTATCGAAATGAATCAGCAGCAACAACAGCACAGCAAATGCTCAGACGCGAATCAAAAGCATCCTGTTTTTCTCATAGTCTCCCTCTCTCTCAATGTGTCTTTCTCCTTCTCTTAGTGTCTTGCTATCTCTGTTGGGCACACAGCAGCTACCGTTGGTCATATTTATAAAGATTATTGATGCACTGCCGCCGCCGGCTTGATGACAATCCGCACAACCACAAAGACGCCTCACCAGATTTATATGCTCCTTCTATTTCCAAACCCATATCCATATCCTTTGGCGGGCTGTGTTGATGCGTTTTAAATGATGACGCCACTTAGCGTTTATGTCGGTTAATACCAACTCTGGAAACACTCCGATTCGAGCTTCAGCTTCATCTGCGGCTGTGGATACTCTAGCTTGTTTTTTTTTCTGCTCTGCTCTGTAATTAGCAGCAATCGCGCGCATTTGTCTCAACCAACTGACAGGATGGAGGAGCAGTTGCTTCTGATGCTGCTGCTGCCGCTGTTGCTGTTGCCGCTTCTCGTCCTTGCCTCTGTTGCAAATTGATATTTAAATACGCTCATATTAATTACAGTTGCAGTTTCAGCATCTCTTTCTCTTTATTAATTAACACCGCACCGTCCCCACAGCACTAATGAGAGCCTTAGCAAATTTGTCTTCTCGATGGCGCATGTGGCACACTCAAACACATTTCACACGTTGTAGCAACGCTTTTAAAGACCTGGGTCCCGGCAAAAGTAAAAAATAATAGTTTGAATACATTCAAAATAAACTTTGATATAAGACCCTTGCATTTCTGTCCAGAAAAAAGAAAGCTTAGAACCGGAGCTATAGGGACTAAAATAATCTGAATATAATAACGAATAGTTTTGGGTTATTTCTTTCAAACATTTTTTTAACGAACACCGAGTTTTAAATTTTGAATAGAACGAAAAGCTTTCTAAGCCAAAACAAACAAACATTCTAAAACAAATTACGCACGCTCCACTGTGCGACGCCATTTTGAATGACACACTGTACCGTTATGCACTCAAAGTCATATTTTATATTAAAATATTGCATGCGTAGCGCCCATTAGCAGCTTATAAAAATCAAATATAAAACAATAAACTCACAACTAACTGAAAAGTAAAGAGTAAAATAATTAAATCAAAAAATTTGTTTTTTCGACAAGTATGCATTTTTGTACTTTGAGGTTAGGTTTATTCACACCTAACCTCCAAATAATATATATATATTTTGCTAAGCAAACAATGTATAGATAATTACAATGCAACATTGCTCGAAATGAAACCTGCAATTAAACAAGAACAACAATTACTCAGCAGGCGAGAGGGAGAGGAAATACATGAGGGAATGGGCTATACTTAAATATTTTTGTGAGGTGAAACAAATGCTGGTACCGGACCTCGGCGTCAGAGTCTGCATTTAGTTGAAACTCATTGATTTAATTGCGCATCATTTCCTGGTTGAATTTGATGTGGAACTTCAAAGTCCCTCGTCCCTCGTCCCCGTGTCCCGTCTCCTACCTGTCGCTTTACCCGTCTCTATAACTGTCTTTGTCTCTGTCTGTGGCTCCAATGAAATGAGCCAGCTTAAGCCCTGATTACGTTTTAGCCTCAAGTTAGCGCCGCTGTCTTTGACCCTCGTTTCTCTCTTCCTCTGTGTCTCGCTGTCCCTCTCTCTGCCTGCCTCTGTGGTTCATTCACGGGTTTTGGGGCTATATCTAGACCGCGAAATGATGGATTAATCCATTCAAAAAACCGGCAGCTACTACAATTACGAGACGTATCAGCCCCTTGTCGCTGTCTATACTCGAACCCCCGCCTCTCTCTCTCTCTCCCTCTCTCTTATTCGCTCTCTTTCTATCGATTTTCTGGCGGTAATCTTTAGCTTGTCAATTGGACAGCTTTGTACCCCCCACCCTTCCCTCAAGCAGCATTTAATTCGTAGTTTTGATTTAATTTTTGTCTTTCTCTCTCTCTCTCTCTCTCTCTCTTATACACACACACGTACACATACAATTTTTCCTTTTCTCTTTTGTTCTTGCAGGCTCTAAATGGATTTCTAATGATACTGACATGCGAAGGCGAGGTCTTCTTCGCCACGCACAGCATCGAGAGCTATTTGGGTTTTCATCAGGTAAGTGGACAACAGCAACAACAGCCTCTCGGGGGTTGGGCGCTTCTTTTTGATTGATTTTAATTGCCTGCAGCCAGTCGGGAGTTTCTATGAATGATACCATGTGGTGCCCCCTTTTTTTTTTTGGGTCAAGCTCATTGCGGAAATGGGCCAAAGTACAGCACAGCCAACACCAGCTATCAAACCAACTCCATCAGCTCGGGCCAAACCCTAGCCATACCCAAACCCCTTAAAAGCTAGTTACAAAGTATATTTGCATGGCTGGGAGCCAGATCATATTACAAGCAAATATTATATAATCAAGGAAGATCACAATGTGATGAGCGGTAACAGTTGAGCCGAAGAGAGCGTTGAGAGAGCGTTGAGATCATATGCAATCATTATACAAGAAAAATAACGGATAGCTAAATACAGATCTTAATGGGATATAATAACTTTTTGGACTCGAACGGATTAGGAGAATATATAACAATACAATATTGTATTCCCATCTTTTCTATAGAGTTTCATGAGCTTGAATAGGCATAACTCGCCAGCATTATCCAAATACATGATCTTAGTTATTCACCATAAGCAAATATATGCCGCCAGCTTGATTGGTATCTAAACAAAATTTGGGTTTCACGAACAAACTAAATATACCCTTTTTAGCCTTCCGAAAAAGTGTAAAAAAGCAAATAAAATTATGAAGGTGCCACACAGCAGATGCCACCGATGCCAGGCAGGCGGCACGGCACGGCACGGCGCGTTCCTTTGCGTGGCAGGTTCTGTGGCCATAAATAAAAATCAGATCAGCGTGAGGATTGCGCAATCGCAAATGCCACAAGATTTGCTTACGCAGCTGTCAAAGGCGTCGGCCAGAGCAGGGCAGCCGGAGCAGGACAGCACAGGACTGAGGTACTCTGGCGCAGGGCGTGGCATTGTTGAGCTGTGGTATTATTAACTTGCGACGCCTCGGCAGCTGTGCGACCAACTGCCCCCAAACGGGGCAACATGTTTTGGGCCTAACTCGAGGAGCCACTGGCTGCCACTACCTGAGCCTGTGCCACCGCACCGCCCCTCCTGGCTCCATCCTGCCCTGTTTGTATTTCTGTTTATTTTTTTTTGTTTTTTGCCTACTTTATTGTATTGGCGCTTGTCGAATGGAAATTGAAAATTGCAGTTAGCTTTCTTCAGGCTTATAGGGAGGCCTCTGCCCTGCTCGTTCCTCTCGTCTGGTCTTCTCATTTTAATTTAGTTGTAAATGTGTAAAGCGGCACTTGACACGCCCCGTTTGGCAGCTCAATTAAAAAACGTAGTTGCCTATTACCATGGCCATTGGCCAGCGGATTGCTTATTCTTGGTCTTATTCGAGCACATTCAAGTATATTCCAATTGAGATTGCGGTCAAATCATTTGCTTTGTTGGTTTTACGTATGTAGAAAGTTTTGCGAGGCGCTGTAAGCGCTGCCTCTTAGTTCCTCCAGTTCCTTTCTTGTATGTGGGGTATGCGCTAGTGGTGGGTGCGTGCTTCTCGTGTTTTCTTTCGAAATGCAACCTCGACTTTTTCAACTGATCAACATTAAAACGATTGGGTTTATCACGAGCTCGAACAGAGTGACACGATCTTACATGATTCAAAATAACCTAACACGAGCTCAAAAAGATTCCGCATCGAATCAATATGTGCTTACGAAAGTTAGCACGACGTACAGGAGCCAGCACAATATGAACATTACCAATTCAATCTTAAAACAGATCAAAGCATTATTTTTAAATGGTCTTTGCAACCTTGACCCGACTTTGGGTGGAATTGGAATCAATCACGACTTATTGAGAGCTAACACGACTTCAACATGAAGTTATCACGACGTATTTCTACAACCGTGTCACGACTCAACTCGACCTTAACATGACTCAGCTCATCCCTAACACGGCTCAACGTTTTTCATCGTGCCTGCTTTAAGTTCGTGTTCGTGTTGTGTCGTGCTGCAAGTAAATGTTAAGAGGACCTCAGCACGAACTTAGACAAAATTGTTACGACTTAATTCAACCTTAACGGCTCAACAATTTTAAGTTCGTGTTCGTGTAGTGTCGTGCTCAAAGTAAATATTACCACGCGACCGTCTCTAGCAAATGCTGCATTCGCATAGCTGTCCCCCCGATCTTGTGCGTATCTTGTCTGTTCCCGGCGCGTGCAGAATTTATGTCTCAATTTGTGGCCAACATGGGGCGCATTTTCAATTTGTGTGCATTTTGATTTATACGCCCCAAAAAAATAAACGTAAGACCCGAAACTGTAGCGAAAGCGAAAATCAATAACAAAGTTGACTGAACCCAGAAGAGAGAAGAGTTAACCCAGAGCTGACTAACCCAAAAACACCAAATCTGTCTCTCTTCCTTGCAGTCGGACATTGTACATCAGTCGGTTTACGAGCTGGTCCACTCGGAGGATCGCGAGGAGCTGCAGCGCCAGCTGCTGTGGAACAGCTTTTTGCCCGCGGACATGTCCAGCATGCAGCTGTCGGAGACCTTGGCGCCCGATAAGGCACTCTATTTGGAGCGCAGCTTTACGGTGCGCTTCCGCTGCCTGTTGGACAACACATCCGGCTTCCTGCGCTTGGACATACGCGGCCGCATTAAAATTCTGCACGGCCAGAATCGCAAGACGGAAGAACCGCCTTTGGCGCTGTTCGCCTACTGCACGCCATTTGGACCGCCCAGTTTGCTGGAGATTCCGCACAAGGAGAACATGTTCAAGTCCAAGCACAAACTGGACTTTTCTCTAGTCTCCATGGATCAGCGGGGAAAACACATACTGGGCTATGCGGATGCCGAGCTGGTCAACATGGGTGGCTACGATCTCGTCCACTACGATGACTTGGCCTACGTGGCGAGCGCCCACCAGGAGCGTAAGTTGTACAGCTAAAACCAGGGGAATTTCTTGCCTAATTCCTTCTAATCTCATTGTCTTGCAGTGTTAAAGACGGGCGCTTCAGGCATGATCGCCTATCGCTATCAGAAGAAGGACGGCGAGTGGCAGTGGCTGCAGACCAGCTCCCGGCTGGTTTATAAGAATTCGAAGCCGGACTTTGTCATATGCACGCATCGCCAGCTAATGGATGAGGAGGGACATGATTTGCTAGGCAAGCGCACTATGGATTTTAAGGTCAGCTATTTGGACACCGGCCTGGCCTCCACATATTTCTCTGAAGCCGATCAGCTGGTGGTGCCGCCGACCAGCGCCAGTGTCTCGCCCACAGCGCACGCGCTGCCGCCGCCGGTAACGCCCACGAGACCCAATCGGCGTTATAAAACGCAGTTGCGCGACTTTTTGTCCACGTGCCGCAGCAAGCGCAAGCTGCAGCAGCAGCAGCAGCAGCAGCAACAACAGTTGCAGGCACAGCAATCCTCGCCGCTGGCTCAGGTCGGGTCGCCGGCGCCGGCGGTCGTCGAATACCTGCCCGACCCGGCGGCTGCCGTGGCCGCCGCATACTCCAATCTGAATCCCATGTACACTACATCGCCGTATGCCACCGCTGCGGACAATCTGTACATGGGCAGCTCCATGCCGGCCAATGCTTTCTATCCGGTCAGCGAGAATCTCTTCCATCAGTACCGGCTGCAGGGCGCAGTTGGCGTCGGCGGCTACTATACAGATTACCCGCACACTGGTGGACCCGCCTCGGCGTATGTAGCCAATGGATTTCTTTCGTATGATGGCTATGCCATTGCCTCCAAGGCGCAAGACGACAAGTGGCAGGAGACGGGCAAATACTACAGTGGCTACAGCAGCGGCTACGGCAGTCCTACGTCTACGCCACAGGTAAGTCTCTGGGAGATTGAAAAACTTTCGGCTAACCTCTGAACTTATCTGTCTGTTCAACCCCGCAGCAGATACCCCTTAAGACGCCAAAATCCTCGCCACAGGTCATGGAGGTCATATCGTGCTCCTCCGATGGCCCCTCGCCTGTTGCCGTTGCCGGTGCCGGAGTCGGTGCCGGAGTCGGTGCCACGCCTAATGGCAGCAACGTTACGCCCAAAGTGGAACTGGCTGCGGCTACGGCAGCCGCCGCCGGCCAGGATCCCTATGAGCGTCAGACGGTGCTCATGTGGGGCACAACACAGTCAAGCGGTGTGCCTCTAAACAGTCGCATTACAGCCCGCGCTGGCGGCTCACCCCAACGCACCACGCCCCTCACCAATGGGCTGAGCTATGCGCACAACAACAACAACAATGAGCACGAGCCCGCCGCGGCAGCAAAGTGGAATGGTAACAAGGAGTTGACAGGGAAGTCAACCAGCGCCGGCACCCCCGAGAGCTATCAGCTGCAGCATGACGACTCTGGCCTCTACTCGGCCTCTTCGCACACTACTTCGCCCCAGCAACAACAACAGCAGCAGCAACAACAGCCACATTCCTCTCGTGGCCTCGGTTCTAATGTTAGCAGCTCCAGCAATTCCATAACGCACCCAGTCAGCGGCACTGAGCACCCAACGCTGCAGGCCAGCCATGCTCATCCGCATGCGCAGCAGCAGCAGCAGCCACACCCACAGCCGCCCAGCTGCGCTGGGAGCCTTCAGCAACCACAGCAGCAACAACAACAACAGCAGCCGCACAGCATTCACGCTCATCCACACACGCAGCAGCAACAGCAACATCAGCAGCAGCAGCACCATCACCAGCATCAGCCACAACCACATCCCCATCCACATCATCAGCACCACCATGAGGCCAATGCAGCCGCTGCAGCGCATCATTTGCATCCGCAGGCGTCGGCCGGCACCGCCAATGGCAGCGAGGTATGGTCGCCCGCCAGCTATACGCAGTACTCGCAGTATTTAGCCTATCACCACCACCACCATCACCACCATCCGCACCACCATCACGCAGCGGCTGCGTCCACGCCAGGCGCGGCACATCACCATCTGCACCACCACCATCACCACGGCCAGCACACGGCAAGCCGCTAGAAAGCTAGCTACAAAAAATATACAACTAGAACGCACCGTAGACGCACCACTCAAGCCACACACACACACACACACACACACACACACACACACACACACACACACCCTCAGACACCTAGCGCACCACTGAGTGCTACTGCCAGACTAACTAAACCTAAACGCTACTCCCCCTACTTAGATCCTAATCAACACCCAACTGCAGCAGCAGCAACAACAACATCTGCAGCAGCAACAGCAACAACAGCTCGTTGGCTACACGCTGCACCACCATCCGCTGGACTCACCGCCCCATTGCCGCACACCGCCCACGCTGCCCGCTGTGAGCAGCCTGCTGAGTGGAGCTACTTCAACAGATTCCTCGCCCTATCAGCAGCTGGCAATTGTCTCCTCAGCAGCGGCAACAGCATCAGCGCCGCCGCCGCCGCCGCTCATCATTTGCGCGGATGAATCGCTGCAGGCGCTCAACAGCAGCAGCAACGGCAGCAGCGAGGCGCACATCAGCTCCACCTCGAGCAGCGCGGCACGTGGCGCACGCAAATCAGCTAAGGTGCAACAGCAGCAACATCAGCAGCAACAGCAACAGCAGCAACATCAGCCAAATTACCAACAACATCACGCACAGCATCTGCTCTATCCGGCCAACATAACGGCGCACACGGCTCTCGCCTATGCCCCGCCGCCGTCTGGTGCCTATATCGATGGCAGTCCGCTGCTCTCCTTCTCGGAGGTGACCAACACGCTGCTGAATCAGTAGGCAACAGTAGAGCACACACACACACACACACACACACAGAAACACACACAGAAACCATGTTAAACAGTTTTGCCAAAATGTGGACTATGACTATCGTATCTTCCATAATCTCAACACAAACACCCAAAAACACAAACAATAAGAGCACACCAGAAGAACAGAAATGCATCAGAGCAGTTCATAGGTATAAATTTAATAGCTTCAATGAAAGAGCCGTGCTTGAATGTATTCGAAATAAATAAGTTAACGTTACGAGCAGACACTCGTTGCTTTTTAAAAGCAGCCTGCGGCCACTCGTTGCTTTGTTAGCTAAGAATCTGTAAGTTCAAGAATGAGCTACTCGCTAAGATCTAAATGGGACGAGCCAGCCACTACTATGGATGGAAACTCGTTGCTTTTCGAAGGCAACGAGAAATCGTACTGATGGCCATCATTTAATTAATGCAAAGAGTTTTGTGTTCGCTGCTTATTTGATGAAAAAGTCTCATTTAATTTAATAAGCTCCTTGACTGGGCGAGATTTGTGATTAAGCAAGAGACTCGTCTCAAGCATAGCGAATTCAGGATATACCTGTCCATCCATCAAACAACATCGAGGGGCGACTGGTGAAACAGATTTTATGGTCCTTAATAAACGATATTTATCGGTCCCTAAGCTCTTTCCAGACCCATTCCAACTTTATAGGTGTCCCCAAGAACTACATTTATCTACCTCCACTTTAGTCTAACTTTCTACATAATCATGCATTGTCCTTTTGTATACAGACCATTAAACATGGCTTAGAAGCACATTATGAAAAGAATACATTTATAGCAAGGCTCTACGTCGAAAATAATCTCAATATAATAGTATTATTTAAAAGCAAATGTTTTAAACCAATTCAGTGAGGCGTCTGTTAAGTTAATCCTGAGCAACACAACAATATTTACGAAAAACATATTTCTATTTATTTTACTGTGATAATTTATATTAACATTTGTACACTTATTTAACACTAGGCAGGCAATTTGAACCGTATCCGTAATACCCGTTATTTCCGTTTATTGCAAAATCGAACGAAATTATGGCAAAAAAAGAATATCATCAAATCCTGCCCAAAGTACATAAACTAATATTATTCAGCTTCAGTTGTAGTTACAACCAAAGATTTTTATTTCTAATATAAAAATACAAATATCGACTAATTGTAGCATATGAACCAAACCTAATTCTTGGTTTCGGATAATTGCGCCAAATTTTTAGTTACATTTTTCAGGCACTTGTAAGACGGCATTGAATAGAAGAAGCAGAAGATGATGAAAAACCACATAAAAAGAATTGCAATTAATTGCTTAGGTAGTCGTAAGATTAAACATAATTAAATACATACATATATCGAAATGCTTGTATGAATAATAATAATTAATTTAACTTTAAATTCAAATAGTTGTAAAAAAAAAACGAATGCAAGTAAATGTAATTTTCATGATTCCTATCGTTTAGCATGTAATCCAAGAGCGTGTTTGTATAGTTAAAAGATTTCTTGAATTTCTAGTCGCCCGCATAAAACATTTACTATACATACGTACATAATATATAAATAAAACAATTATTCAAAATACTTAAATTGTACATTTCAATTTGATGGCCGTGAGTTAAGGCAACAATAATATTTGCTAATCGAAATTTTATTCCAAAACTAATATTATCAAATGCAGTTGTAATATAATTTTAACTCGCGCCCAAGCTGTCAATGTAATTTACGAGTTTAATTCAATAAATATTAAACAATTAACTTAAAAAAAAAAACAAATAACTATTGGAAATCCAAGTTCATGTACTCGTAAAGCGCATATCCAAACAATCAGAGCGAAATAAAACTAGAAAATATTCAATCGAAAATAACTAAACGCATTCTTTGTTTTTCTATACCCTTTACAATTTATATGTTTATCGTTGTGAGGATGCAGCAACATTTAATAACTGTACTTTCTTCGAACTCTCGATTTTCCTTCAAACAGAATTAGTAATTTTATAAATTTAAATCTGCCGCAAATATTTCTTACACGGTTACGAAACTAGATACACGCTAGGGCTGCATAAATTCGCGGTCTTACCTAACACTGTTGCGTGATTAGCAACGCTGCAAAATGCCATTACGAGTAATTTATCGCTTACGTGTATCGATATATCGCGCAGGCGCGCGCATTTAAATGAACTTTTTTGGCACCATTCATTGGATGTTGGCAGCTTTCTAAAATATGTTTGTCTTTTCATAGCAGCTGCAGCAACTGATTTATATGCCAGAAAATAATGTTTTTCGTAAAACGAGCCCAGCTGCAGCAGAGTTTTATCTATTTTGTTTGTTGTTTTCATGGGCAATGCAACCGCAAGCCACAAGCAACAGCCTGCATTATGCTGCAGCTTAATTGGTGACTTTGCTGCATTAATTGACAACACACAAGATGCCTTGATTGACACCTAACAATATACTATATACCATAAATATTATATGTTTTTTCTCGTAAACGCCTAAACGCCACCGCATCAGATAATAGAAAAACGCACCACAATTGATGGCGCTGCTTGAAGTCTTGTTTATAAAGGTTTAATCAAGCGATGGGCGCCACAATGGAAGCGCACCTAGGCAGCAATCATATGTGGGTTAAGATATTGTAGATATTGTTCAGCACTAAATGTTTGCTATAGGCAAGAGGCGCTCATCATTAATCCAAGTTCACAATGCGTACATATATTTTTGTGTATAGACGTATGTATGAAAGCAGCGCAATTAATCAAGTACTCTAATTTCTATATGCAATACATCATTCGGCCAAAATATTTTGTGGGTTCAACATTAGCATTGAACAGATATTGTCTAGTTTGATGGCTTCATTGTTCAAGTGGCGGTGCCTGAAGTCGAGCCACTTGCTGGGGACGTGTAGCCCCATATACATACACATGATGCCTTCTGGGCCTAAAAAACAAGCGGCACACTTGCTCCTGGCTTCATTGCCAAGTGGCCAAGGTCAAGTTGATTGGCAAAAAAAAAAAAAACCCGGTCAGACAATGGGTCTAACAGGCTTTTTGTCATTTCAGAACATGTGCGCAAATCCCACAAGATGTGCACACACATATTGATTAACAATACATAATATTTAACATTGACTAAAAATCAGCTTATTTCATAGACTACGCCTTAATATTTATACGAAAGACAATGGCTATTCGTTATGCTATGCATAGATAATAAAAGCCAAATAATTGTGTGCGAGTTTCGTTTTATTTTACTTATTTGTTGTTAGGAGGATGTCTAATTTTATTTGGCGTGGCAAACCTGATGACAAAAGCCATAATACCTGACTCGAGGGTAGACAAACATTCAGCTTTTTTGTTGCCCTGTGCCATTGTCTGGCGCGCAGTTCGTGTCTTGAGTCTTTCGTTTGAACCATTTTCTAATAGCATACAACAATTAACAAAGTGCGCGGCCTGTTTTATTTATTTGTTTATTCATTTGATTTACTTAACATTGTTCGCTTTCCATTTCTTGACCTTTAATAGTCGTGTTGTACACATTTTGTGCCATCGGCCGCAACGTCTATGTAGGTCTATAGAGCGGCAACTGGAGCTAAAGATTTCTGCAGTGCTCACAAATTGTCAGTAAGTGCAATAAATGAATCCAAAGGTGATAATCTTGGCTTATTCAGTGCTCTTCATATTGCCCGGCACGTCGCTTCGTATCATCACTTAAGGTCAATGATATATGCGAAAGCTGACCGCATGCGACGGTGTGGGGCATGGGGCATGGGGCAGGCTGCCAGTGATCATTATTCAGCGGCTCAGCAGCTGCTGCTGCTGCCGCTGCTGACCTTGCAGCGTTGTTGGTTTGACAAATTTGTAGCACCCCAGTTAGAAAAATTGCCACTTAAAGTCGCTCGCGATGTGACCGGATGCGCGGCTAAGCCGCTCGCATCGAACTTGGACTTGAATAGCGACTTGCAGCTGCCAAAGGCGAAGGTGTTTACATAGCAAGCTCTATGTTTATTTGACTTTTGACTTCCCCTGCGCGTAAGACCTATTTAACAATTGTACACTTGAAGAAATCGTCAAGCATTTCCAAAAAATATAATATAATATATAATATATTTGAGTTTAATGAATTAAAAATGTTGAAGCCAAGCTAAAGTAAATCATCAATGTACTTGAAATCAAACTAAAACGATATACTAATTTTGGCATTGGCAGTATAAGGCCTATTTGGTCCCTCAGTCAAGACAAGAGTTTACTAATTATTCCAATTATACACACTAAAGAGCAAATATAATCAACTCAAATCAGTGGTAAGCAAATTTGATTATAAGAGTAAAAATTGTAGCCATAGAAATCTTCAGGTTATTGTAGAATTTGTTTACATTTCAAAAGTATATTCATCAGTGTAAATTATTAGTAAAAAAAGATACCATTAAGAACTTTTCCAAATTAAAATACTACAGCTTATTATACCCTATATTTAAAATCAATTAAATTTGGTAATTTCGTATTTTTCTCAGTGTAGGCTTATTTTACTATTAACTAGACATAGTCGTAATAACCAGACAATTGTGCACACCTCATTACACACGTTATTCGTTAGTCGTTATTCATTATGTGCGCTATTCAATTCCTGCCCTTTGTCGCTTGTCGGTGGCGTATACGCAATAATTGAGAGTGTGCTAACTGCTGCTAACTGCTAACTGGTAGTTGGTAACTGTTAACTGTTGTCTGTTAACTGTTATCAATGATATGTGGGAGTCGGACCTAAGCAAAATATTGAAATTAAATGCGGCCATCTCTTAGCTACTCTATAAGTACTTTCATTTTTCATGCTCATGACCAGCTGTGGCCCGCGGCTTTGTGACGCTTTAAATAATTTTTAATCAACGTGTGAATCTGTGTTTTCATTGTTGTTGTTGCTATTGTTGGGCTACTTCAATGAGACCTTGCGAAACAGAAAAACAAGACTTCAGCCATCAACATGAATTATGCCGAATTGCACCAATTTAGCAATTAAACATATGTATGTTGCCCATTGGGTAAGAACGAGAAAGAAGCAGAACAAATGAGCTAACATAAATGGCAAGCAACAATTGTATTTTGTTCTAATACTTCGCAATCAAGGAATTCCCAAAACAAAATGGGTATTATGACCCAATGCTGAGATATGTAAAATCCAGCAGCAAATACCTCAATACCTCTTCATTATTTGCTTTATTAAGTAACGCAACTCATCTATCTATCCATAAAACATAACATTTAGTGCGCAATCATTCTATGTTTAAAGCAGTTATGGCCCAGGCCTGTCGCAAAAGAGCGCATTGTAAACAAGAAATTTATATGCGAACGAGTAGTCTAGCTATTAGAGAGTATCTTTTAGTCAAGCAGACACTTCTTCAGCATTCTTTGTTGTTGTTTTTCTGTTACTGTTATTGTTATTGTTGTTACTGTGCATACTGTGGCCTTCAATAGAATCACACGCCTTTAATACCCCTACCCGCCCCCGTGAGAGCAACAAGAACTGAGAGATGTCGATGACACACCTCGCCGGCATGTTTGGGTATGTGGTCTATACGAAAACTTGGGAGCAACATTCTGTTTCAATGAGTATTTCGTATTCGTACTTTTAATCGTTCTCGTATTGTAGCTGTAGGCCCCACACCTTCTCTTGATTTCCATTGAACCCGTTGACATCGCCGCTAATTGCCAAAAGATGCGCATCCAACAAGTGCAGAGCAAACTCGTGATATGTAAGAACCAAAATTTGGCATTCACATGATTTTTTTGAAATACTATTATCCAACTGCTAATTAGGAATATGTCAAAAATTTGTTGTATGGAAGCGAATAACTGGATATTTGGTATTTTCACATATATATTGTAGATACTAATCTTTTTATACCCTGTACCTATTAAAAATGGGTATAAGGGTATATTGTATTTGTGCAAAATCCAAATGTACCCCATAAAGTATATACATTCTTGATCAGCATCAATAGCCAAGTCGATCTAGTCATGTCCGTCTGTCTGTCCGTCCGGCCGTCCGGCCGTCCGTCCGTCCGTATGTATGAACGCAAGGGTGTCTGAACATATAAGAGATATAGACTTGAAATTTTAGATGTAGGCGCTCCTAGTGCCTGCGCAGATCGAGTTTGTTCCCAATAATCAATAACTTACTCCGTTTCCAAGCAAGCGATAAAAATCGATATCGATATCCTGTTTTTTTGGCAATTTTGGTAAATAATAAGAGCTAGAGTCCCCAAGCTTGACATATAGCTTCTTAAATAGAATGTATATATGCATTTGATGTTGGAAGAAGAGGGTTCAGGGTATCCCCTAATCGAGAGCTCCCGACTAGAACCTCTTACTTGTTTTATTTCATAGCATATATTTCATATATTTCATACCTTTATTTCACTATACTTCAAAATGCGTTGTGTCTGTTAGATACAAGTTTATTTAATTTACATACTTTTTATCTGAAAGATAATTTTGTACAAAGATACTTATCTTTTTTTCAATATACTTCTATTTCATGAAATAACCATAGAAATTAGTATCGCAATGATAAATTGTATCTTAATGATACAGCTACTCACTTTTGATACTTCAAAAGTCTTTAGTGTCTAACATACAAATTTAGAACTTCAAAACTATTTCTTTATCTCACAGATTTTAGTGCCAACTACTACATCTTATAAATAGTTTTGGGTTCATATATGCTTTTGTACGGCATAAATATGTTAAGGAAATGATTCTGACAATCAGATGAAAGTTATATATCCTCAAATACTCATTAATATTTTGTGTGTTTTCTAGCCTTGGCTTGGCTCAAGCGAGTCGGATAGCAAATCTGAACTGATGCTGCCCAAAACGA